AGATATTTTTAGAAATAAAACCTATAGCGCTGTTAGCTCAGCGGTTGTATAATGGCAATGTTCACTAATGGACGTGCGATCGATTCTCGGTCATTTTACTCATTTTTTGTCTTTAATAAGGTTTTTTTTTTGTTTACCCTAAAGATACAGAGCCATGAATATGAAACTTTCTCAGATTGTTCTCCTCATCTAGGGAAGTGTATTCATACTTGATACTTGTATGATATATTGTAAATTGACTGAGATGGAGTATATTCTATATATTGAAATGTGACATTTTGAAAGATTGTTATTATTATCATATTGAATTCAATTCTAACACTATAAAATTGATACCAGATGTATAATAGTGTGATTAAACGTAATTTGTAAAGTTACAGGATGATTGTATTTACTTTCATTGAGATGGAGTGTTCACTAAGATATATTAAGTGTTGACATTGAACATTTACTGATTAATTTTATGAAAATAGTTTGAAATATTTCTAAACTATTGTAGATGTATTTAATTGATGCGTAAACCATGTGGTATCAATTAAAGACTGATTGTACATATAATGAGTGAGTTGGAGTATAATCTATGACATCATGTCAAATTTCTATAGTAAATTGATAGAGTTGATATCTCACCATCTACTTAACCAATATTCATGAAATTGATATCATATGCTAATTAGAGTGTCTACATATCATGATATTAATTTCAGTGAAAATGGAGTTGTTGCTATATTTCAGATTTCCAGCCATTCCATTGAATTACCACCATGTACTATCTACGGATGCATTTCTTGAAATGAAATTATATAATTTGAAGAAAGTCCACTTTGTTTGAGATGTGGAACTCGATATTATCATTTATTTTGAGATTAGTAATTTTTCCTATAGTATCATCCTTAATTGTCTTAATTGACCAAATTAGGTCAAGGAGAGATTTCAAAACATAAAATAAATTATATTTTCGAGATTTACTAATGATTTCCAATCGATTGATATGTATTTTGTTGATTGAGGATTTGGTTCTCTATATTCAAGATTTCCTCCTAATCTTCCAAGTCAACCTTGATATTTCACCCTTTACCTTACTGAAAGATGGAATATTCACCAAAATGTCTGAAAACTAAACCACATACATTATTTGAGATGTATAACACGATGGTAGAGTTGAATAGAGTGGTCATTTTCCAGATTTTCATCCGTGTTACTCAGTTGACTAGATGGTATGATAGAGTTGAAATCATGAACATGAAAGTGAAAATAAACTTAATATTCTATCTCTACTCATCGAATGGAGCATTTTCATGTATATATTGTTGATTGAAGTGATATATTTGATAGAGTTGGTCTGACTTGTCTTTCTCTAAAGTCAACCATAATATATCAACATTTACCTTCCCATGGTACCATTTCTGATTTTTATGATAAGAAAATGAATTCTATATCAGGGTTTGGGGTGGGGTTGGTTAGGATTCAGAGTTGATTTATTTGGGTTATTTAAGAGATTACTTGGTGGGGTTTGGGTTTGGGTTTGGGTTTGGGTTTGGGTTTGGGTTTGGGTTGGGTTTGGGTTTGGGTTTGGGTTTGGGTTTGGGTTTGGGTTTGGGTTTGGGTTTGGGTTTGGGTTTGGGTTTGGGTTTGGGTTTGGGTTTGGGTTTGGTTTGGTTTGGTTTGGGTTTGGGTTTGGGTTTGGGTTTGGGTTTGGGTTTGGGTTTGGGTTTGGGTTTGGGTTTGGGTTTGGGTTTGGGTTTGGGTTTGGGTTTGGGTTTGGGTTTGGGTTTGGGTTTGGGTTGGGTTTGGGTTTGGGTTTGGGTTTGGGTTTGGGTTTGGGTTTGGGTTTGGGTTTGGGTTTGGGTTTGGGTTTGGGTTTGGGTTTGGGTTTGGGTTTTGGTTTGGTTTTGGTTTTGGGTTTGGGTTTGGGTTTGGGTTTGGGTTTGGGTCTGGGTTTGGGTTTGGGTTTGGGTTTGGGTTTGGGTTTGGGTTTGGGTTTGGGTTTGGGTTTGGGTTTGGGTTTGGGTTTGGGTTTGGGTTTGGGTTTGGGTTTGGGTT